TCAAATCATGGAAATACCGAAGTCTTTTATCAGAATTAGAATCCTGAGTGGTTTTAAAAGGCATTGGAGACTAATCAGAAATCATACTACTTAAGTCTTGACGTTAATTGAATGTTATCTCAGTCAGGTCCGCAGTGTCACTACTAGGCATAGTGATTTGGAGACGTGTACTTATTTTTCAGGTTTGTGTTGGCAGTTATTGGGGTAAATTATCTGTGACGTCTAAAGAGCAATCGCAAACATGCTAATCAAGGTAAGCACAAAATGTTACCAAATGTAGACGGCACGACACATTTTTTCTTTCATTATGAATGCAGTTTTAAGTTGATGAATGGGACGTACTAATCAATTCTAGATCGTTTCGTCACAAATAGCCAGTGGATATTGTTGCCATCGAATTAAATCTACTGGTACCTGCATACTAATCGGATATATATCTCAAAGAGTCTGCAGAAACATCGTGGGAAGTGGTTATTTGTTTTACATTACTGTACTTTAGCATTTTCAGGAACTTCAAGATATTTGATTTCTAGGTGCCATCAGTTATTCTGTTACTTCATTTAAAGTATTTCGATTACATTTTAGTTAATTCGCCCTGAAATTGCTTCTTCTCCAATTATATCTCCTCACGAAGTTCTGTCTGTTTGCTGGTTAGCTTAACTGTGTTGACTGTTACAAAGCGATGTTTGTCTTAGTTTCTACTCTATGTTTCACTTACGAATCCAGTGATTTCTCCTACAGAAGCACCCAAATTTGAATCAGTGTTTCGGAATAAATTTTGATAAGGTCGTACTAGTCCCTTGTCCACAGTAACTGCAACTTGTTTTTAACTTAATAGAGGTTCTCTGTAAAACGTCATCCTGCCGGTATCCAGGCGTGTTGCCATGTAAGCTTTATACAGCATGACTGATGTTATTCCTGTTATTCCTGTTAAACAGTGTATAAAATGAGAAATTTTGAGAATAATTTTAATAGTTCCCTTTATTTATTGTAATATTTTTAATCTGGAGGGTTATATTAAGCTTGAATGGCAACATACCGGATACCAACAGTGGTCTGATGAAAGATAAATCAGCGGTGTTTAAAACACTATGAACACCTAAGTTGTTCTGTGAATCTGATGTTTAAATTGGAGTCAGATTCATACATAGATGAATAAATACACCAAACACTTAGAGTTTTACAAGTTAGTCATTAATTCGAATACTTCAGTGTCAAACTATATGAGTGGTGAGCGTTCAAATTCTTGATTTCCTCAAGCATGAAAATATGTCTTTGTGATGAGTACAAACAATCGCGATACACAGGCCTACATTATCCCTTCGAATTAGGAACAATCAACGAGCACAGGTTTAATCATACTAACGTTTTTGAATCCATTATTACTATTTGCTGATATGCTTTCGACTCTCCGTTGTTTTGATCATAATAAATACTTAGGCAATATCGAGGCATCCGGAAAGGAGCCATATACCAATAGAGGTCGCACAATCCAATCTAGTAAAACAACAGAGAATTACAAGGATATCAACAATGGGTAATAAATAATACTCGTTGTACAAGATGTGGTTGTCGTGCCTCAGTGGATAAAGCTTTGGCTTTTGAAGCAATGGGTAGGAGGTTCGAATTTCAGTGGGAACAACGTCACTCACTTGGGTGTACGTACATCCAGCTGATGAGTCCCAAACAAGACGAAACGCGCATCCTGGATTTCTGTGTTAGCCACAACCAATCAAATTACCATAATAAATATTTTTAATTCATATTGCGTACTTCAATATCCATAAAAGCTATTGGTGGTTTCTCTGACTGATTGATGACATTGGATGTTGAACGCCCCATTTGTTAAGTTTATTTTAAAAACCAATCAGTATGCATGAACTGGTATCGAGTACTCATCGGCGATCTGCTTCGATATAGGGTTTCCGATGTTGAATGAGTAGCTGTGACTTGTGTGATTAACCGAGTAAAGAGAAGTACTTACCGACAGGACTGGATAGTTATTGGACTATATAGTGAAATAAGAAGAAATGTGGACCATTTAATTCAAAACGAGTGACTGACTGGTGATGAGTTAGCTCTTGAGGCTCCTGAGATCAGAATGTTATCGGATCATGGGGTGCATACGTCTGAGGAATCATAAACTCTCACATATGAAGTGGTTCGCCAACTGATATCAATCCATTAATATAGGAGTAAAAATTGAGCACTGTGGTAGACTACATTCCCATTTTAGCTTGCCACACAGCGAAACAGTATTATTTACTGGATAATGTTTCGGATACAACTTATTGTCCATAATCATACCATCCCATGATAAAAATTCCCTTCAAGTGATGTGAATTCAAAGCATGAATCTGGAGATAATGTGCCTAATATAAACTTGAAAAGAATTTTTGATGTACGCAAGCTGTTGTCAGCAAAATGTATAACTAAATATAGCACTAAGTATAATGACCAGCCCAACATACGGATGTCAAAGTGAAAGTAAGTCGAACAAAAGACGGGTTTTAGGCTAATTTAGAACCAAATTAGGAAACTATTAAATCCTATCATTCTAGTATAATTCCAGACAAGTTTAAACTCTAGAAACATTTATGAAATCCATAGGACACGGGTTTCGCTTTTTTTGTGAAGTGTTAACACATCTGAAATCAATAGCATTACTGAAATTTACTTGAAATAATAAAGCAAGGTGAAATTAGAAATAATGCTGAACAAGAACTTATGTTTTTGCAGACGTATGCTTTTCTTAAATACAAAACAGATAGTCCGAAACAACAGATTGTTAAATGACAAGAACGCTTGTGAATGATTGGCACTCACTGCTATCGATTTTCGACATCACAATTGGCGCTAACTTGCTTTGCTAATTTAGAGTGGAACTCATCACATCCCCTATAGATACATCTCTTCAGCTGATCTATTTTACAACAAACTGGTTCAAAATGGGCAAATCGTTAAGTCAACATTTCATAGTATAGATTAGCATTCATGTGGTGTAATTCATATTTGAGAGCGCAATACTAAACACTAGAACAAAGACCCGGGCACTTTAAGTTCCTCTCTAACAAGGCTAAGAGCATATAAGATTATCTCTCAGAACACATGTAGGAACAATACAGCGTTCATATATAAATACAGGTCTTAGTTAAGTGTTCCACTGAACTAACCACCTGAGCAGTGTGTGAACTTATGTTCGAAAATCAATTTTCTGACACTTTCACGTTGAATGTTCAAGAAATATCGGTTTTAACCAACACCTTCCTTTCAAGTCTTATTCATGCTTTTGTAACCGAAGGTCGAGCCTCGCTGGTTGTCAAGCGTTTCCGACTGGTTCAGCACATGGGCTGTAATTGGAATCAGGCTTTCGTGGTATCAAATAGACAACCTCGTACCTCTGGCACGATGGAAGTTGTTGTCATTATTGCTTCTTCATTTTGCGCTCGCCAGTTAATGAACAGCCAGGATACCATATTAGCCTTACCAAGTCTTGTGTTGTTGCAACAGATATCAAAGTCACAGATTGGCAAAAGTATCGCCTAACTTTGCAGTTTGTTTGTGGAAGTATTGAGATTCTTTTTTCCTAGCCAAAGGCTTTATGCAGCGGCTTGCCAATTCCTAGAGAAACAGAAATGACTACCGTGCAACATTTTATGGCATTTGTTTAACGCTTCTTTTTCTGTTGTGACCATTTCAGGAGCATGAATAATTGATTTTACCGAATAATTCAGAAGTTACTACATCTACTCCATCGTTTGAATAATCTGTGGTGAGAGAGAGAGAGCTTTTAGTCAAAGTGCATCAGGAAAAGATACGAACTTCGGCTTGTCACAGGCACAATGGCATTCAAAAAATTAATTCATTTGGCTTTCATTGTGGAACTAGTTCAGAAAAAAGTATAAGTCATGTAAATAAGGTAAGACGGTGATGTAATGTGTAATCGGTTCAAGTAATGATAAGAGAGGGGTTACATTTCTTGTGTTTATCAAAATATAATCTCAATCTGACATTCAATTGCATGTAGCACCTTGGAAAATCAACCTACACGGAAAAGTGGCTTGGATTACTTGAACAAAGTTAGTTGAGTTTGCGAACTGATAATATTAAAAGATGGTTGAATAGTTTCAAAATTATTCTTATGGTTTACAAGCGATGCCAACTGAGCGATTTTCCAAAAGTCATAAAAATGGATTTTTCAAGGAACCTTCCATTTCAAAACCATGCATATCATGCTATAAAAACCGAATACGTTTATGAACATATTGGATAGCTCAGCACACGACCCAAAAGGAGTACTATCTAATTTCAGTTGGTTATTTCATATATTTGAGGCATACTTCATTATCAATGCTAACTTAGTACTATAGATTATGATTTGGGAAATCCATCTCCAAAATCTTTGTTTCTACTCACTGGTTGCACTGAAACAAGAAAAACGTAGACGGATGTATACCCTGTTTTCAACGAATGTGTATTTTTGTCTTCTCCTATCTGCACAGAACAAGGCATTGTAAGTGACAAAAAATGTCTTCAATATTTAAAAATGCAGAATTTTTGCAGATGTAAGTATACAGAACATTATTAATTTCTAAATAGTTCATTGGACGTTTGTTTGAATATAAAAATTGGAGGCAGTTATAACAGCGATTAAAAGATAGATCATATCAATGTTGAACTATACATGATATGTAGTAAAGGAGGGAAAGCGATGGGAAGAAATATAGATATTCAAAATAACAGAACAGAAGAATAAATTTTCCATCAAGTATGAAGTAGTGCATTCAGCCAACTCATAATCAACATTTGAGTAGATATATTACACACGTGAAACTGTAGTTGCTGTGGTGTGTTCACATAGGCACAAATAAAACAAAATTTCATCTGTTCACTAGTCAATAGCTGAAATGTCGTTGTTTTGTTGTTGTGATTGGCTCAAACAGGTATGTGTGTATGTTTAGGACATGCAGACAGCAAGAGAAACGTTTTCTATAAGTGTTTCAATAAAACTATCAGTGATATGAGGTAAAAAAAATATTCCTGGATTTTGGCTGGACTGTTTGGTTTTCTGTATGACATTTTATCAAGTGATGGAGTTCGATACATTGAATAGTTTATAAACTGTCCAACTTATCAATACTAATATTGAATACAGCATAGACATTGATAGTTGGACGCGTTTTCTCGACGAATTGTAATCTGGACAATATGGACAAGCGAAACTACCACATACGTTACAAATGCTATTGGTATAAAGTGAAACAACATTGTAGAGGGAATTGTTGTAACGACCTACACAGTAGACAGAAATTGACAAAGAAATAAGAAAATAATTGAGCAGGCAATTATAGTAGTAGGTTTTTTACTGAAAGTTCACATCAAATGTTTAGGCTGCGTTACACATGACGTTATTAAAGGAGAAACTTAGCACCAGACATTTTCATCCTTTGCAATTCTATGTCCAGTATCACGTAAACTAATTGTGGGAGAGTTTTTTGATATTCTTTGTTGAGTCCAAGCAACAGACATAGTTGAAGAATGTGGGAAGGGCTTTTAAAAGTGGAATGAATTATTGTTTGTCTTGTTGAGTCGTGTGACAATTTTATGGAGATGCAAAAAACACAACCACAATTCAATTCATTCGAAAGGTAGATCCTAATGTTTATCATCCAAGTTTTTAGCACTGTGTCGCACTAACACATTCAGAAGAAAAACCAGTTTTAAACAGCTGATGAAGCTGTTTTCTGTCTTAAAAAATGTAGGCTTAATATTTTGGTAACACAATGAGTTCACCTTGCTGGTAAATATATTTTGTTCGAAAGCTATAATGCATGACCTATGAGCATAGATACTTTTGTTGTGTGCGCTATTTGTAATGGAATAACTGATGAGAAATTGTATTGTTTAAATTAGGGTTTTGTCCAAACATCACCTGTAGACTTACAGTCTAGGAGTCTTGAAAATCGTATCATTCCCCGGTTGTAGACTAATACAGTCCGTTATTACACTGATATACCTTGGTTATGAGTTTAATAAGTAATTGGTGAGCAGTTTGAAACTGGAAGCGTATGATTTACAAGCCAGCAGGCAAACAGACTGAAGCAGGAGACACATCTGCTAGCTTCAGTTCAATTTCACTTCAACCGTTGTGTACTTTATTATGATTATTTAGTAGACCGTCTGAGAAACTTCATTAAACAAACCTTGTATGAATTTTCGCAACTGAGTTATTCTCATATAAAATCTAAAAAGATTGTTCATGTCATTTTCAACTCTGATTTTTAGTCAGTTATCACTGTATGTCAATACTACCTGCTTGCCAAACCACTGTCTCCTCTAAACATCTCACCAATAATCATCAATTCCATGCTCCCACTCTCTAATTTGGCTTTCTTTACATTGGGACGAGAAGAAGTAGGTGGGCAGCTATTCTGATGACCATAAATGCACATTTACATTTCAGATATTCACCTCATAGCCGGGTGAAACACACGGTGATTTAAGATCTAACCATCAGCTGAGTCTCGGAGTTGATACAACATCGGGTTTGAATCTGTCCGCGATTCAGGTTTGCATTTCATCTTCAGTCATCACCCCATAGTGTGAATTTTTCAGCTAGTCTCGTTAATAACCACAAAACTGACAGTGGAAACACTGAAATTTTATGATGATGGTTTGCAAGTATCAAGAAAATAAAAGTAGCTGAGCTATTTCCAAGCTGTGCCAAGTTCTACTGCACTTATCGAAACGAAAGGTTTAACTGTTGCAAAATGTTGTACTGCATATCTAGACAAAGCCTATCACGCGTAACAAACAGACAATCGATCATTAAGTACACAGAAACCAGATTTCTTATTTCTGGTACTTTCACACCTGAAGTTACACGCACCTATGGATTATAGTTAAGAATCCACAATATCACCTTGATGGTCATCAATTAATGACACTAACATAGTTAATCTTGCTGTGTTTTGTATTTATGTGTGAACAATCTAGTCTGATTTTACCCTCTCCCCTATCTACATCAGATATCCTGTAAAGATTTAGTAAACTGATGGAAAGGTTACTTTTGACGATTTTGCAAATATACTGTTATTATAAACCATCTATTCGATGCCCAGTTTATTGAATACTTTTAGATCAAGCTTCATGCCTGTAAAATGTTCATACTTGACCTACACAAGATATCTTTTATTGATAAGCACGTAACAATGTCGAACAACATAATAGGAAGACTTTATAAAGGATTAACAATTTGACACTATGATGTTGTTGCTTGTATTATCCCGCTGTTGAGTGGACCTAATTGGTCTATCTCTATTGACATATGAGCTCCTGCGTGGATGCCTCGATATGACCTGTTTCTGAATTATATAGTAATTATGGATAGTTGCTAGCAGTGGGATAATACAAACAACAACATTAAAACTATACCCGTCGCACACAGACAATATCGAGGCATCCGCGCAGAAGCCAATATGTCAATAGAGACCGATCAATTCGGTCCACTCAACGGCGGGATAATACAAGCAACAACATTTAAACTACACCTGTCGCACAGAAATGTCTTTCGTGACTCAGGAGTCCAGAGGATAACACCCTGGCGTTTGAAGCGATTGGTCCCGAGTTTGAGTTCTAGTGGAAACAACATCGCTCACTGGAAGGCAGGTACATCTAGCTGACGGGTCTCAACTAGGATGAAACGTGAGTCCTGAGTTCCTATGCTAGCCAGTACGCATTATTAATATATTAGGATACTGTTTTGGGATTCGATCGTCATTGACTATACATATGGAACTAGTCGATAAGTTTTGAATATCAATGAAAACAATATCCGCCATTTCTCTGTTTGTCACTAAAAAAGAGGTCAATGATGGCAATAATATGTGTCAACTTAGTTTAATAAACTGAGAGAGGTAGAAAAGCCCTCCTTGAAGTTCAGCCAGAATGGTAGCTGAATGTTTGATATTCATCCAAAATGGTTGAATTTTAAATACTTTGTATTCGATTTTCAGCGTTATGATCATGGCTAACAGTGAATGATGCATTTTCTTGTAGAGTGGTGAAAAAGATGATAACACATTTTTAGATAAGTGTCTTCCAAGATCTATTTGAGAATACTTTTTATATGCATCTCAAATTTTAGGTTTCCTTTCAAACTCAGTCATTTTCCTGTAAACAACCGGTGAGATTTTATTGAACACAAAAATCAAATTAAACACATAATTGTAAAGTTCATCTTTACGTTCACATTTACCTTCAGCATTGAATAAGTGAATAAAACTAATAAAACGAGTGACAAACAATTCACCTGGTTCGTAGTATTCGTAAGCCGAGCACACATGTTGCTGAGTAACATTAGCAACTGGATAATAACGTTCAGCTGTAAATTGTACACATGTTTTATCAGGTGTAATCTAACGGGTAAAGATAAAATAGTGGAAAAGAAAACAGCTTAAATCAGTATTTTCAAGAAATTCGACTGGGAACCTTAAACAGTTTTTGATGTAATTGTATATACCAAATGAAGTTTTATTCATAAGATAACTGTACAAATTCGTCGTATTCATTAGTTCATAAAAATCCTTTGATATGCTTAAGAGATTTCGTCCTGATTGACATATCATGAATTTACTGTAAACTTGAAGATATTATTCATCCCCAATGGATATGGATCATATAGTCGGTGAAACCCAAAATGTGTTGAGTTTTAGTCACCTTCTGTTGTAGAGTTTTTCTAGCAGTACACAAACACGACTCCCTTCAAGACTGGAAAAAACCCATAGAACTAACAAAGAACGTAATCAAAGTCAAACCAGTGGCTCAAGGGCTAAGGAATGTACTGCACAGCTTGACTAACGTGGTATGAAGATTATTATTATTTTTTTATTATTGGTCCCTTGGGTTCCTAGTGGAACATAGGGCTTCACTAGCACGTCTCCAGTGACCTCTGTTCTCTGAGATCTTTTGAACCTGGTTCCACGACAGCCCACAAGCTCTCATTTCCTGCTCGCACGACCTCCTCCATGTCACCCTCGGACGTCCAACTCGTCGCTTCCCATGGGGATTCCACTCGAGCAACTGGCCTGACGCGTGATGTCCTCAGCCGGCCTTCTCAGTGCATGGCCAATCCATCTCCACTTCTTCCTGCATATTTGTTGCGTGATAGGTTCTTGGTTGCTTCGTTCCCAGAGTTCCTTGTTGCTTATTCTTTCTGGCCATCTGATCTTCAGTAACGAGCAGCGTAAGCAGTTGTTGATGAATGTCTGTAGTTTATTGGAAATGCCTTTCGTGACGCGCCAAGTCTCTGAGCCATACAAGAGCACTGACTTGACGTTGGTGTTGAAAATCCGTATCTTGTTCCACATGCTGAGTGCAGAAGATCTCCACACTGGTTTCAGGCTAATGAACGCCTGTCTTGCTTTTCCGATTCTGACTTTGACGTCCTCGTCCGTCCCGCCTGTAGTTGAAACAGTGCTTCCTAGATAAGTGAAGGAGGTTACTTCCTTCAAGTTTCTCCCGTTGACGGTGATTGGAGTTTGTTGTTGTTGCTGATGGTGGTGGTGCGGTATCTTCATCACTTCTGTCTTCTCTATATTCACCTGAAGTCCCGTCTTCGCTGCCTCTTCTATCAACTTGTTAGTTTTTGCCTGCAGATCTTCAAGTTTATGTGACATTAGGCATAAGTCATCGGCGAAATCCAAGTCTTCTAGGTTCTTTTCCGTCGTCCAGTGTATCCCCCTCTTCTCGCTGCCTACTGTTTGCTGCATGATCCAGTCCACCACAATAAGGAATATCATGGGGGATAGTAGGCAACCTTGTTTCACTCCTGTCTTCACTTCAAAGGCATCACTGAGCTTCCCATTGTGGATTACTTGGCATGTAGCATCTTCATATAGTTGTTGAATGAGGCGGATAAAGGTTTGCGGCACTCCGTAGTATTGAAGCAGCTTCCAAATTACTTCTCGGTCGACGCTGTCAAAGGCCTTCTCAAAGTCGATGAAGTTGAGGTAGAGAGCTGATTGCCATTCTATGCTCTGTTCTATGATGATACGAAGCGTTGCAATTTGGTCTGCACATGATTTGTACTTCCTGAAGCCTGCCTGTTCCGGTCGCAGTTTTGAATCCAGTGCGTCTTTAAGCCTCTCTAGGATGATGCGGCTTAATATTTTACTTGGGGTGGACAGGAGAGTGATTCCGCGCCAGTTCTTGCAAGCACTGAGGTCTCCCTTCTTCGGCAATTTGACAAGGTAACCCTTCTTCCAATCGTCAGGTACCTTCTCTTCCTTCCACACCTTCTGCAATAGTGGTGTGAGCATGTCCGCTGTTGTCTCTGCATCTGTTCTCAGTGCTTCTGGCGGTATTCCATCTGGTCCTGCTGCTTTCCCGCATTTCAGTAGCTTTATGGCGTTCAGGACTTCCATTTTCGTTGGAGGATTAATGTTCACTTGTAATTCAGCGGCTGCAGGTGGTATTTCTGGACGAAGTGCAGGTGGTGGTCGATTCAAGAGCTTCTTGAAGTGGTTGGCCCATCGTTTCCTCTGTTTCTCTTCTTTTGTAATTAAATTTCCTTCTTCATCTTTTATTGGTTTCATCTGTGTTGGTCTCTTCCCTGATAGCAACCTGGTTATTTGATACAATGTCGTCAGGTCTCTCTTACCTGCAGCCTGTTCTGCTTCACTTGCCAGTGTTTCGTAGAAGTGTCTTTTGTCTTTCCGTGCACTCTTCTTCACTTCTTTATCCAGTGTTTTATACATTGTGCTCAGTTCCTCTTGTCGTTGAGCATCCTTGCACTGGTTTATCTTCTGCTTCACCATCCTCCTCTCCTCTATCAGCTTCCAGGTATCCGTCGAGATCCATTCCTTGTCTTCTTTCTTTTTCCTTCCTAATACTGTTGTGCAGGTTTCTTTCCACATAGCTTTCAAAGACTTCCAGTGTTCTTCCACACAGGTTTCTTCAGGGATGTTGCTCGATGTCTCCCATTTTGTCTTGATGGCTGCCTTGAAGATCTCCTTTGTAATTTCATCCTTCAGTTTCCGAGTGTTCTACTTGAATTGAGGTCTATCACCAGCTTCCTTGAAGGCTTTTAACTTGATTTGGAAGGAGGTTCCTTGCACTAGACAGTGATGGTGTGAACTTACATCCGCTCCTCTTCTTGACCTTCTGTCAAGTAGACTGCGTCTCCATTTTCTTGAGATTGAGATAAAGTCGATTTGATTTTTAGTGTGTCCTTCTGGTGAAATCCATGTCGCTTTGTGGATATCTTTGTGCCTGAACACACTGCCTCCAATCACCAAATCGTTGAATGCACAGAATTCTGCAAACAATTCTCCATTCTCATTCATTTCACCTAGTGCCTCTCGACCCATGGTTAGTTCTCTTCCCGTGTTGTCCCCTCCCAGTTTGGCATTCATGTCGCCCATTAGAATTTTGATATCGCCAACTGACGTCTTGTCCAGTGTTGATTGAAGTTGTCTGTAGAAATCCTCCTTTTTCTCTTGCTCTGCATTATTTGTAGGTGCATAACATTGTATGATTGTGACCTTTCTTCCTTTTGAGTTGAATCTTGCTGTCATGATCCTGGAGGAGATTGGTTCCCAGTGCATGAGAGCCTTCGATGCTCTTCAGGGACATCATGATAGCCACTCGCTCAGTGTGCTCGTGGTTGGCGTCTGGGTGACCGGAGTAGATTATTGATTCTCCAGTTGACAGTTTAAAGAGTCCACTCCCATTCCATCTGCTTTCGCAGATCCCAAGCACTTCGATGTTATACCTTCTCATCTCCTTTGCAATCTGGGCTGCCTTACTGGGTTCAAACATCGTGCGGACATTCCATGTCCCCACGTTTACTTTCGCTTTCATCGAGAGAAGACACATCGGCCAATTGGCTTCCCGAAGGCTTTCACCAACTGGCGTCATTTCGCCTCTCCGATTCCAGCGGGGAATAAGTTTGTTTTCATTTTTTATATAACAACGTGGTATGAAGATACTTATTGCAAATCCATGGACAGGATAAAGAAGTACTTCATCACTTCCTAGACTTGTAAGTCTTATAAATCCCTCTTTCCTATTGTTGAAAAAAGGTTGGTTGTTCTTATAAATAGTTACATTCAGTTTTGCGTGATTTTTCACTTAGTTGTTTATGAGGACTATGTGATTTCAGAGTGATTTTACTCACAGACTGACATCAAATGAACAATCGTGGAACATTTTGAAACCCTGGAAAGATTGTTTCGTTCTAGCTTGGGACTACTCAGCAGTTTACACTCATAATTAATTGAAGAGGGAGAGAGCCCAGAAAAGTGGAGTCTGACAACTAGCACGCCACCATTAAGTCACTGAAAACAAATTCAGCAATTCACTTTCCCTCTTATAGTTTAGATCATCTATGGATACAATGTGTTCGAATCAGCGTTCACGTAACTACGCTAATTTATGAACCCCACTGTTTATTGCGGCTTACCACCAACAGTGCCAAACAGATAGACGTTATCAAAATAGAACTCGGTAATACTGTGAAACGATTTCGGTTGCATATTTCATATCTGCAAATCAAGGTAGAAGTTGAGTTCACATATGAATCTTTATCAATGTTATTTAGGCAGCTCACTCTTCACTGGTAAAGTTCACATACCCTATACTGGCTGTGAAATCTGGTATGCTACCACAGAATAAGATAATATTTTCTAAACTTCCAGAAATGAAACATGCAATTCCATCGAAAATACTTTTCAGATATTTCTCTACAGCGTTATTAATGACAAAGCAGAAGTCAGGGAGACTCAGTACAAGCCGATCAATTGTTTGAAACTATGAATTATTTTAGCGTAGTTGCGGCTGTTTGTACAATACTTACGAAAAACTACACTTAAAAATTATTCAAATAAAGCTATTCAATAAATTGAAGTCTTACATTAGGAGACAAGACGGATCAGTTACTGTTAGTTGGCTATGATGATTGGTTTGTTCAAATGGAAAGTGAAAAAATTCTGAGGTAGGTAAAAACGTATTTTAAAAAGGTTTTTGGATTAGTTTCACTTAATCAGGTAACACTTACCGTATCAAAGAAAAAATGTACAGATCTAGGGTTTGAACGTGCGTAGCGTAAATTTGGAACCATAAGACTATTCACATATCTTCTCAGGTCATCATTTAGAACAACGAATCCTGTTGGCAATCCGATTTCAAATACAGCCATCCCACTTTGAGGTAATGGTTCAACGCCCTGTGAATGTGCAGAAACACAATTATACGTGACAAATGCTTACGGTCTCAACATGTTTACTAACAATCAACATATAAGCCAGTATTATTTCTGCCAAAATGTTTTCAGCTTGGATACATGTTTCTGACAGGTCTCGGAAGCTGTCAAACCCAAACAGCCTACTTCAGAAGGTGATCACCACCTTGATAAGTGAAAAGTTAGTTCCCAAACATTTCACCTTCGGCAAGGTTTTTAAGGTATATACAATGAATTGCTGTCACTCAAAAGTTTATATAGCCCTTTTAGAATAATTCAGATAGCTACTGTTCTTCACAGAAGCTAACGATGTTGATATTAGGCTATGTATGTATGGAGGCTGGAATTAACCGTCTGCAGGTACATGGCTAAGTTAGTCAACCACATCCATTACTTTGGAAGAATCATGCTGAATAAGTTACTGATTGCTATTCATTTGAAAAACAGTAGAGCAGGCTCAGTTAAAAGCTAGGTAGATTTTCTAAAAATACAAAGTTATAAACTGAAATTTCACATGAAAGAGAATATCTGGTCAATAGTCGAATGAATCAATCTTTATTTGATTGACCACGAGAGATAACATTTCCTCTGTATACTTTATTATCTTTTCAGAAGACAGTTACCCCGATCACAGCATGAAACTCCAATGAACATGATCCTTTTAATCATTCAAGTGGATAACTGAGTGCAATAGATTAAATAAACTTGATGAAATGCGGTCACAGGTATACAGTAGAAAAATAAGCAGTAGGGTTTTTTAGTAATCTGTGTTCATTATTAAGACATATTTAAAAGCTCAAAGAAGCATACACTTCTTTACAGTCATCCATTGCCACTATCAGGAACTTTACTTCTATATTAAATTGTCTGTTTAATATGGGACAGTGATGGAGTATTGTTTACTGGAAGGCGTTTCGAGAAGAATTTATCGCTAATATTCACATATTCATCTAACGCTCTGATATGAATATGAGAAATAAATCCCACTTGAAACGTCATTTAGTAAATAATACTGTATCACTGTGTGCTATATCAAACAAACAATCTAATAAGGAATTATATTGTACCTTAATGGCCAAGTTTTACTCTTTCAGCAAATTTACTTTCGACCTAATCTGATCACTAGACAAGACCAGTTTTCATACCTTCTGTAAAACAAGTTTAAAATGAGGCCGCTATGCTTAGTAGGTTGATATAAAGTTATACTGTATTTGGTGATGGGTGGTGGTAGAAGGTAAGCAAGTAAAAGTTTTAATCGCTGCAACGTGATCAAAACTAGGAACTAGACGACATGAAACTGATTATTCTCAAACTACCGACTGGGTATGTTATTTCAACAGTTTTGTATGTTTCACCATAAATTCATATTGATCAAGTTATCAATGATAATGACAGAACACTAAAAAGATTCATAAATCCTTCCAGAGCTGTAACTTTTTTCCACGGAAACCAAGTTACTTCGAACATTTCAGGTGACATATTCGTGATCAACGTAGATGAACAACACCTTATCCCGGAACTTAATAAGTTCTACCGTGACTGTGGTAACATTCCTCGTCAACAGTGATCGATAATTCTTAGGAGGAGATCAGGTAAATCCTTTTACTTCTACACTGCCTAAGTTTTACACTTTCGTTAAATTCTCTGAAGTTAAATTGGAATGGAATTAAAGGCTAAAATAGTAGACATTCTGATCAAGATACAAACAAGTCTAATATATCATTCCTGTGAATAATATCGTGTAAGTTGATTAACTTATTGATTAGTACAGAGGTCGGTATACAAGTTTTTAACAGTATATACAGATATATATTTTATAAACTTACTGTTGTGCCAACCCATCGTCCGCATGCAGTCATAATCATAATGGAGTTATTACGACTTAGAAAGCCTGGAGTACATTCAATTTCAAAACTACGCATAACTTGTTCGGTATCCAATGGATTTCTAGGCATTTTTTGCATTTCTTTATATTCTACATTCACTTCTACATCCAGTTGAAGTAATACACGTCCAGTACCTTCAAGTTTCATTGTTATATCACCCCAAACATCTTCCGGTGGGAACTGTTAGGAAGATAAAATAAGTTATGGTAAAAAGATATATATAGGCTAATGGAGGTTCTATTTTTAAGGTAATATTTGTCACGGACTGAAATCAGTTGAAGAACCATTGAAAGCATGGAAGCACTGGACAGGTGTCTAGTGCTAGTATGGGACTTCTAAGCAGTACGCATCTATGAAGTCGCCATGGGTAGAACTCAAGTCCTTCAGACTTCACTGCGAATGCGTTAACTATTCAGCCACTGGGTCGCAGTTCAGTGGTCCACGGTTTCCTACTCCTGTCAGTTGGTGATCTAGGGCGACTATTATACAAGGTCTTCAGTTGGCATCCACTTTATTTCCGACTGGTTGATCCCACAAGTCACGACATCATCAGAAATTCGGGATATGCTTCTCAGAGCATGTCACTAGTAAGCCATATGCAGCTATGCAGTTCCAGGTTTATGAGGATTTTGCTTTTAAGGTTACATTCATCCCAAACTGAAGGTTTTAAGCTCAATCTCTGATGGGATCGTGAGTGTGTACTGCTGAAGAGTCCCATACTAGGAAGAAACAGCTGTCCAATGCTCCTAGACTTCAAGTGTTTCTCCAACTGATGTCAACTGCTGATGAATACCACAGTATATATATGTATACAAATAAATACTTTGCACCAAAATGAAGTTCTAAAGCTGGTTATCCTACTTTCTCACAAATGTGAAAGATGCAACTAAGCGGTAGTGAAAGTAACTTCTTTTTTACAAGACAGTACTTGGAGTACTAACTAACATTCATTTCAGTGTGAAAGAAATCGACTTTACATTAAAAGAACTGCAAGTGTTTAGCAGTACACCGTTTAAAGTGTGGCAAAGTATCATAAACAGACGACGATAAGAGAAATGAGTAGGCGGGGAATCAAACACCATCCTTGCTAGATGGATCCTGTCGGACAGCACCAGTAGTTATGAAGTAATCATGCCGACCTAAAACATTCTGTAGCCAAATCTAACTCTCGGAAACACCATACGATTGTAACGCTCGACTCCGGTGAAACGCATCAGCAACTCCTCGAAACTAATTAAATTAGTCGGGTTGAACTGACATCCAGTACTGGGATCACTCTGATATGCATAACAAAATCATCAGCGCTTTCTAATACTGGTATCATTTAGCTTGGTTGCCGCCGTCTGAAGACGGTGGAAGAAGGGGGCGATACTAGTTGAGCGATGAGTGGGAGGTACGGCTGGGCTGAGACGGATGATCCCGGCAGGTCACTTGTTGCCGTTCCAGCTAAGGAGGTATGAGAAGACACCGTGGACTTTGGGATCGTCTCTATTGGTGGGAGTGCATGGTTTGTTGCATACACTGTTTTCATGTCTATGTGTTTAATTAGAAACCGTTTACATGGACCGTGACGTTTGGTCAACCTAGGAAACTGGGGAAGATCTGGGAAACCAAAATTTAGCATTATTGGATTTTGTTAGCTAACAATACTTCTCTTCCATGCATAGCAAGCTGCAATTTTGTCCAGATGATTTCTAACGGGAACCACTTTGACATTACAGCTGATAAAGTAGAAGGTCACTGATTTTTCCATGGGTTAATTATTCACCCAGTGGACAGCTGAGTGTTTTTCTTCAAAGCAATCATTAATAAGTAAGTGGCCATAATTTACAAGAAAAGTTAGAATTACGCTTCTGTTTCTATCCAACTAATTAGTTCAGAATAACACCAGTTGGCGTAAATCAAAGCTAGAATACACAAATAACTATTATCCCACAGAGCAAAGTGTTAATTACCTGGATGCATGAAATAAGAACTTAAAATTGTCATATCTAACACAACAGTATACCAGTTGAATATGGTTTGTTTAGACAAGCCTGATTTCAATTTTCAATGGTTGACTTTGTATTTTAAAAGTCAGACTAAGAGAATCAGAACTTCACAGGACGGAATGGAGGGGCTGTTATAATTAGGAATACAATTTTGTTGTCAGTCTTTTTGAGAGTAGGAAGATGGATTCTTTGCAGACGTTGATCATCATTGAAAGATGCTCCTTCACATCCTGATACAAAAAACAAGAGTATTTCAACTCTTAAGAAGAGATCAGCTGATTTTGATCACACCATTCATCAAAAGACCTTAGTAACAAGGGAAGAAACTCAGCAGGAATAATTCTGGTAAACGTAGTTCGAACAGATTATTGGGACAGGAAAGTCCAGTTACCACGATGAAGCAACCAGGACATGAACCAAAGTTAATTCTATTGATGTAAACACCAGCATAATGACATAGAAATCTGTTGGGATTGATTGATTTAAAGTGGCGTGCACCACGAAGTGACATGAGTTAGAGGACCGTTGAAAAACTGGAAGCACTGGACAAATGTTTTTCCTCAGATTAGTGCTCCTCAGTGGTGCACACCCATAGCCCCAACAGGGATTGAACTCAGGTCAGTAGACGGTTTCCAGTGGTTCTCCAATGATCGACTCCAGGACTTTCAGGTCTCGCAGGGAGTACAATGCCATTCAGTCACTAGGTCACGACCCAATGGTCCATTAGTGTAACGGTCAACAAATCCACCTAAGTAAATCACTGTGCAATTACTTTACTTCGTATATTTATTGTATCTCCATAGATAAATGATTAAAACAGTTATATCCTTTTGAAAAAGCGTAAGTCATAATGGAGATTTGTACATGGTGTAACAACGTTATTTATGTGCTTTATACACTGGTATTACCGTTGTATGCGTTACAGTTGAATAGTTATGAGTATCTATGTAGATACGGTTTGCCCAAGTATTCATAGAGGATATTTTTTCATCCACAGCCATTCGATATAATGCACGATTAGTGTCAGCCAATGCGAATTTTCTCAGGGCATGCATTGCAAAAAGTGAATCCTATTGAACAGGAAAAAAAGGAGTTAGAAATGAATAAAACCCAGTTTGGTGAAAAATAGACGCATTTAACAAATATGCACTTGGTGACTGAAGTGAAATAAAAGTCCGGTCAGCAGTCCGGCCTCGTAGCTCAGTTGATAGAGCACCGGATCGGAAACACAGTGGCCGCTGGTTGGAATCCGGCTGCCGTCCATAGTTCCATTTCACCTTCTAACATCAAACAGTATCAAATATGTACTTATACATAGAGGTTAAAAGAAAGGTAGTACCTGAAAGTTCACCTTCATCGGCTAACCATATGCGGTCGTTTAAAATTGTTACTTGACTTAAGTGTCACAGTATTTTTCTTTAAAAATCGAATATTATAATATTATTTACTATCTGTTTACCAATTATTGAACTTGGTTTGGTTCTAAAGGTAGTCACAGTTGGAAATGAATCACTAGTTAACATGTCTGAATGTAGTAAGAAGAAAGACAGGTGCAGGTCTCTCAGGGATGATACATTACCCTGCGGTTACACAAATGACTCAGTGACGAGCGCCAATTAACAGGAGACCTAGGTTCACTGCTCTTGCTTGCCAAAACTGGACATTAAACACTGAACTTTTGTTGTCATTTTACTGAACCTGGAGGTAAAGTTGCAAAAATGATCAACAAAACCGGTCAGCATTGGGATACGACTTTCGTGATTGTAATTCAGTGCAAGTAGTGAATCAATCAGAATCCTGATGTCCAGATGACTCTTATATAGGCGAAACATATCAGCAGAGCCTAAATCAGAATGACACTGAGCTTGACAAATGTATGTTTCACTGGAAAAGTCAAGTTTTAAGGCTAATGAGAATTTAAGGTGGTATGTTTTTTCATATCTTTGATATCTCAGAAGATGGGGCATCACATACTTCAAAATTGATATTTTTCTCAGAAACCGAGTGCTTCATTTTCGCTACACTGATCCCATGGAAAAGTACCCAAAAAACCAACATGATTGAAAAAAGGGATCTCTGGTTTTGAATGATCTCATAATCCAGGTTTTTCTTCATCACATCATTATATCAACAAAGATCAGTTTTACAAAATAGTCACACTACCGGAAAATAAGTTTCAGTATCCACCATTCTGAAGTTAAGCGTGAAGAGAATTTGCGATACAAGTGAACAACAACTGTGATCTCTGAGGTCTACAAACAGTACAAGCTAGTCCCTAGGTTATTAGTTGCAGTGTTTCTCCGTATTCAGCTATGCTTAGATAATATGCATGTGTAGTAAACGTTACCCCTCAACCAGTCAGAGACCTAGAGTACAGAGGTTTAAAATTAACTGGATGAATGATAATTTGGGCTAAAAATAATTCACTTTCATATGGGAAGACAGACTAAACATGGTAGGAATTAAGGCTCATATATGGATATTTACACAAAAATAATAAAGGTTTCCAATATACACTTTTACGGCTTTTTAGGGGAAAACAATCATGCTAAGAAAAGGTAGATGAAATACTGCAAGAAGAAATTGTCTGTTAAAAAATGGACATAAATGAAAATTCAGAGATATCGGGACGGAGAATTTCAAAAGGCAGTTTAATTACATTTGTTGCAATGTCAATTTAGACCGAAAAATTTCCACTCATTCTGTTACACCATACAAACGTATATCTTTCTGCAACATGAATATAACTGTTACACTTATCTACATTGATTGGTATTTGAAGTGTTTCCAGTGTTATGTTGTCATTCGCAGTACTGATAAGTTTGTCAACTAATCTGGTGATGGGTAAAAACTCAGCAGAGTGACAACAAAAGTAAATACTTGGAGAGATGGTCCATCGAAATCGGTAAGAAAGAGTGATTCGAATTCCATTTTGGTTTGTTTATTGGATGTATTATATAGTGGTATAGTATTGTTTACTGGGTAGATTTTAGAATACAATTCACTGCCTATATCCATAGCAAGACGACTCCGCAGTTGTGAGACATGGTTTACATAGTTCTAATTTTCTCACCTCCTTGAGGATATAGGTAGTAAAAAATTTCTGTAAGTCTGGAGAAGGTGCTAAACCATTCATATTACATTTTTTCGGTGTTGATTTGATCAAAAAATATTCGCTTATCAATCTTCCTCCCGTTTCACCTAGTTAATTCGGTTTTCAATAATGTCACTTTATACCATCCTACTGCGTGTAACTGCTGGCATAACTATGACTGGGCTTTCCTTCAGACTTCTAAGTCTATAAATCTTGATTTAGCTGAGTTTTTGTGCTCAAACAGCCTAATAGTCACTGATCGACTTCTTTGACCTAGCAATCCTGGCAAGGGATTTGAACATTTTAACGCACAAAACTTGTTTCTAATTGAGTTTGTAGGAATAAATGTAACTATAATCACAGCTTTATTGAGAAGTCTTCGTAGAATCTATGATGTGCCTTCCTTGTATAGCGATACCATAGAGGTTTATAATTTTCTCTTAACAGTGCCATCACTATAACAACTATGATCATAGACACCTGTGTCACCACTACTGCTCATATTTTTCTTACGAATTTATTGATAAATTTAGTTGGATAAATATTGAAACGCAAGGTATCTCTAATGTGTCGAATTTCTTATCTCGAATTCTATGTCCTAGTGGCATACTTTTTCTATCCTTTTCCTAGACATTTAGCCGAACCCAATCTAAATGACATGAAATGAGGTGATTTGAAATCTTGACACTAAGGTTTAAGTTCATGTGTTAAACTCTAAACCCAAGTGACAAACAAAAGTCACTTCAGAAGTAACTTCCATTGCGGAAACGAAACCCTGAAATAAAGGGAGTTTCAACGATACTACTTAACCTATACAGGATGTGTTAATAAACACTTGATAGAATGTAATCATTCAGGATAGAAAGAATACACTTAGAAGGCTAGGAAACCGTGGTAATAATGGGACGGTTTATTGTCAAGAAAAAATTTCAGAGTGATCTTATAGGTTTTGAAGCGGTTTTCAGTACTATCTAGCTCTTCATCAGACCTTAATTTCTAGAAAGATGTTAAGCCTGTAAGCTGCCTAAGGATTCCAGACAAAGGTGAAACGGCTATTCGTGGGACCAACGGCCCTCCATTGAATACTCCTTGATGAAAGGATCCACGTATTAACTGATGAAATCTTGAAAAATATATAAAAGGGAATAGATAAAAAAAGAATTTGATCATCACTTACAAATGTGCTTGCAAAACCAGCGACATGATTTCGTTCACTAGCTAACCAGTGAACCATATCTAATGCTTCTGATGAACGGAATGACCATTCACCTAATTCATGTCTCAACAGAAAGTAAATGCTTGAGCATAGAACACCATAACCATCATTTGGCATCTCTAATCGAGGATTTTCAATCCGCCTACCAGCTTGATCTAACTCCCATTTCGGTGGTGGTATTCTGTAATTTGCGTAGTAAACATAATCACCTTTTGATGAAATGCTTGAATACGCTTTAGAGCCCTGTAAACAAATGACAGGACAGAAAAGCATGTTATTTGTTGATTTACTTGCATAACTGATACATTTTAACCATCTGGATGTTAAATAACCAATTAGTTTTATTGTAGCCTAATAGTAGCCGGAAACTTTAGCCTTCACCTACTACAATACACTAGCTACGGTTACCTGTTGTTTGATGCTTTTAATTTCTTGTTGATATACAGGGTCGAATTGAACGACCTCCTATGCGGATGCCTCAATACTGCCGAATATTTATTATTTTGCATTCACCTTAGTGACTGGCAGTGAAATCTAGGACGCACGTTTCGTCCTATTTGAGACTCGTCAGCTGGATGCATCTGCACCTCGGGGAGTGCAACTATATCCAAGATGAAAACAACATTATGGTGATTTGTATTTAATTAATGGACTATGTCAGACTGAAAGGAAGGTAGAATTTTCTCCTAAAACGAGTATATTTCGCAGATAAAGACCGTTGGATTATAAGAATCAAATGTAGATTGTCCACTATAATAATTGTATTTTCAGTTCTAAATTCTCTTGACAAAGGTTATTTTTGGGAAGTTTCATAACGAGCCAAATTAGTTTTGCCTCTTGAAGCAAGCAAAGAACTAAACATAAAACACTCAAAAACTATCAGTACAAATGTCTTATAGATATCCATGAACTGGTTAAAATCGTTTGCTTTGAACAGAAGATACCACTATACAGCTAAAATCTCATCTTCTATAGAGAGATAGACACATGCATATGGTGAACCTCATGTAAAGAAACATTCAACTACTTGTGGTTTGCAAGTCAAATAATCAATTTGAGGTGCGCTCAAATTTATGCTCTTGCTTCAGTGAAGATACGTTTCAGCATCAAGCTAGGTGAGTCACATTACATTTTGGTGTTGGATGTCAGGACCCAACTGGCAGAAAGCTTTGAAACTAGGTTGCGTGCTACTTAGAACTTACAAGCACCATGAAGTAGTAGAATGTAAAATATTGTATCCAGAGACCGCTTGTGGTAAATTGATGTATATGTAAGTAGTATACAAGTCGTCGCCTTTTTTTCAAAACTTTTATGGCAGAATCAGGCAGTTAGAGTGACTGAATTATATATTAACTGATTTGTGAATATTGTTCATACTTAGCTGGGAATTTAATGATAGATTAAAGTGAATAAATTAGCGTCAGCTTTAATCGTCATTATCATTACTCTAGGAGGAAAAGAAACAACGCTTACTGTGATATTTTATGCTGAGATGTCGCATCTACAGCCACTTTCAAGGCATATGTGCCAATCATTTGTGAGAATAAATCATCCACATTTAAAATATGCCGACTAAGAAATCTAACAGCCTCTGAAATGATCCCTTCAGCTTTATCAGCACCAACACCACTAGGAAGGGTACGTTCTGTTGAACGTAATGCAATTATAACCATAGCTGCTGATGGTACACGACGATGACATTCTCGGTCGATTGGATCAGGCCATTTATTTGTATCGATACGTGGAGAAAACCGTCGGTCAACAACATTCGTAATATTCCAACTGCCCGATAGCCGGACGTCAATAACTGACCTATCAGCAATATCACGGTCATATGAACTGAACTGTTGAGTTTGTTTTAAATAATTAATAATTCGAACAAAAGTATCATCGTCCACATAAATTAAACGATTCCATTGAGTTTGCCTTGTCAACAGTAAACTCCATAGGGCTATTGCTGTCACCAGTGGGTCCGTTCTAGGTGGTTGTGGAAGAAAGGAGAAACATTTACAGGAATTGTTATTTGATGAGTAGAAAATTCAGTCTATGATTGATGTTAAGGTTTTCATATACTGCAATCAGTCACACTCATATTTTAAAACTTATTACTGAAATCAAAGTGAAAGAAGGCGACTTTAAACCTTAAACTTAATGAGCTGAGCACGGGATATGGAATTCATTTGACCACAAATTTGCGTATTTAAATGCTAGTTCATTAGAAGTGAATACAAGGAAAGATCAACAAGTAGTGGACACAAGAGTGTTAATCACATGCAAGTAAGACATAGGTAAGGGCGCTGATTTGTCTAGCCACGATTCGTTTTTAGGTTTGCAGTCAGACTGGGGCAACTTAAGCTATTAAAACACATGGTCTAAAGAATTAATCTTACACAGAGTATTTGTAGTTCCTGAAGACTTATTGCCAACTGACTCGAACAACGCTGAATGCAACAAAAGTTCACTGGTCCAACCTAGGTTTCCTATTGATTAACTACTAAGACCTAACACATGTGCAAGACACTGCAGTGTTGAGTAGCTAAGCTTGGTGGTTATATTGAAAACTAGATTTAGTGGACTTGGGTCAGCAGTCACCAAATAAAAAATACCAGCTGTATCGGTTAAAGTCTAACAATTAATTCGTCTATGTAACCACGTTTCAATTATCGTAATGATAATAATTGTTGGGGGCTGTCTACCTGATGAAAGGCGATAAAATATATTGACTACCCTTTAGTCTCGAATTCTTGATATTCCTTAACTTCTCAGGCTAAAGCGAATCTCAACTTAAGGGAACAGGGATTTTAGGTACTCGTTTCACTGATGAAATACGATTTCAAACTCTAATACTTTAGAATTTTACGTAGGCATGTCGTTTCTTGATGGAGACCTCAGTTTTCAAGAATTTTGTCTCAATCTGAGCACTATTTTGAGAGGCAAACGGGGTAAAATGATGGCTGAAAAATATTGTGCTGGATGACTTGTGTCAGGTAGGAGAAAACTGTGAGTCGGTGCCACACACTTATTGGAACTTGCCAAAAAACAAGCTGCAGTAAACTTGTGACTTAAAGGTTGGATGATCATACCAGCTTGAACGTGAGAGATTAGAATTTTGCAAATCATACATTTCCAAGACACTTCCACAAAAGTTCGAGACCTAGTATATTGCAGGTCAATATCTATAACCTCCTGCGTTTTATGAAGTTCACTATCACGTCAAGACAACTAAAAAGACAAGAATTTTTGTCGATTCACACGTTTGCTTTATCTGTCCTGTTTTAATTGTCTATGATACGGCACATGACATTACTAAATTTTGACAGCTCAGTTGCCGATACGCGCAAGAAGCTTAACAAATGATTTGTTGGCAGGAACTACGGAAATTTCTTCTCTGTCCATCCAGACAAACGTGGAGTTGATTTATTTTCCATGTCACTATCCACCAATCAAAAAGAAGCCCCATAGCCGGACCAAGATTTAGTATTCCCGAAATACGAACCTCAGATCTAGCAATCCAAGTAAAGTTTGAAATCCTAATGACTAACTTGTTCCCGCAAACGTTGATGACCAGGTCTGGTTGAAAGTAAAGTTACTGGACCTCGTTCATTAGTTCTCCAACGTGAACTTTAAGCAGAAGAGTATGTTAACATCCGAGCACTTTCACGCCTTAAACGAAGTGAAGGATAATACAAATATCATTATTCTCAGACCTCATAAAGGTTCAGATGTTTTTGTCATGGTCAGAAGGGATTATAAAACTGACATGCTATCCGTTCTCAAAGATGAAAAGAAATTTATAAAAGACTGTTCGACAGAAACCGTACAGACTTTACAAGGTAACGTAACAGCCAATTTAGCGAAAATTCTCTCTACGAATGCTGTTAGTGAGGGGAAGTTCAACTCAATAAAACCCGTTGAACCCCAATCACGACACCTTTATGGTTTTCCAAAATCCCATCAGCCTTATAATTCTTTTCCACTAAAAATGTCAGAGTGAAGGTCTCTAACCTACACACTTGCTCATTGTTTGATGAAGGTATAAGATCTTGGGAAGAAACAGTTTTTTAAATTTGTTTTCAAAAACAACTCTGAGCTAGTCGAATATCTTCATGATTATAACCTTAAAAAGAGGATCCTTTTTCCTGTTGACCTACGTTTTTGTTAGCTAATGTACCTTTTGAAGCAATCAGTTGACGTTTTCTATGACTATCTGTTCCAACAATATTCCATTGCCAATTTCTCTTTATTATCTTATGGAGCTCCTATTATGTACAAGCAATGTTAAATTTATATTTGAGGGTGAACACTTCCTCCAGATCGATATGTAGATGACATCATCTACATCAGCAGTAGGTAAATAACCGTAGTTTTTGCCTACTGTAATAATACACCGGATTCAAAGAATATGTATAAGTAGTACTTTAGAGGAAGAAACATAAATGCTCATCAAACTATTATTAGACAGCAATTACCTCCTGAAGTTTATTAATCACCACAGAAATGTCAAATAGAGAAGGCTTATCGTTCAGTCGGTTCCAGAGAAAGGTGTCTGTATCAGGCTATCACATGTGGGCGATTCAAAAAGTCTGGTAACCGAACAAAGACTTAAGGCAGCTATTCGGGGAACACACTATGAAGTAAATGTCAACATCACGGAGAAAACGAAGCTTATGTACACTTGTAAACCGTTGCAGCATTTAGAAGGTGAGGTCAAATTCAATTGCTTGTGTAGTAACACATACACACAGACACACATAGAGACGAACTTGTATCTAGTCAAGTAAGGGCCACAGAGCACATTCTACAATGGCTGCAACAGAAAATCAAAACTGTTGATCTGGTTGACCCAAGCAATAGATATCAAACTTCGTCTATAGCTAAGCATATCATTGAAATGAGTTGAAAGGCTGATTTCTTTGCATGAATCTTTCCAACCTATTCATAAATCCAACTGGGGGAGGGACATACACTTAGGTTTGTTGAAGCCCTATCTATCTATTTGGAAGTTCAGACTTCTATGTATTCCAAAATGGTTTATTCTCACATTAAACTTCCCTTGGTAACTCAGATTTAAAACAATGGTGACTAATATGCTATTTTTCTCTAAACTAACAACTTGATCCTTTATTATACTGTTTATTTTTACACCCATCTATTCTTTGTTATAACTCATACAATTTTGTGTGACAAGTAAGGATGTGATCAGATTGTTCTAAATATGTTTCACTAAGGCATCAGATGTTTCAGATGAACTATATCTTCTTATGGTTTTGTGGAAGTTTGAATCCATTTCTTTTTACCTCAATCAAAGTCGAATGATCTAATCAAACTTAACACTTCTTCAGGAGACAGTACTAAGTGAGAAATGAACACATACAAACAGCGTTTTCGTAAGGCAGCATAATCATATACTATGAAGAATACATAAAACTACTGATATGAATGGTAGTAACATAATTTAAACGACCGGTAACCAAGAGACAAGGAATGTATTAACTGAAAATATCACTATTCTTTAGGCGTGTATTACAACTAGTGAATCCTCTAACTGTATAAAACATTTTCTTCCTGCCTTTCTAAATAAACGGGAACGTGTCATTTCAGAATCGCTAATAATGGCCTTGAATAGCTGGTTCTATTTGGCTAGAAGTTATACCGCCATTTAAAAATCAATAAGTGTACACGTGTGTGTATGCGCTTATCAAAGAAAGTCATCCTATGTGCTGAATATCGACCAAAAAGAAAGGGAGGTAAAGAAGAAATAGACAATCATGTGTAAAACTAGCTATCATTGTTATTTCTGGTTTGTTCAAGAAAACACGAAATGATAACTGACAACCAAAAGGCCGCAAAGATGTGAAGAAACCTGTTTTTCGGGACGCTTTTGATGTGCACTGTATTTTTGTTGAGGCTGTCATCGCGTCATATGAAATGCAAACAAAACAGCGGTAGACAAAGCTCTGAAAATATACCAGTGAGATACCATTGTTTACACATTAGATAAAATCCATAGTTACGTCATGCATTCTACTAATGAAAGTTATAACTACCACACTTTCGGATAAAGATACATTTTCATATTACCATCCATGGAACTGGCTTTAAAAGGGATGAATCGCATTCCTTTAATCTCTCCCTCAGAGATAACAGGTTCTATAACCCATAATACTGCTATCACCAATCCATAGGGCAAATATGTGAAAAAAACATTTATCCAGTCGGTAAGTCTGTTTAACTTGTCTCAACAACCTAGACAGCAACACATTGTGTTTTAGATAGACAGAGTCCGGAGTTCGAGTCTGATTGCAAACACCTATATAGATCATAACGTATTCGCTTAGTGAGTACAAATTATGGTGAAAAGCGCATTCTAATTTTCAAAAAGAAAGTGTCCATCATGTTGAACTGCCACATAGTGATTAACGAGGACTATTTACCAACCTTGAATGTTGTAGCACTAGATATCATAAGCAGCAAACAACCAGCTTTACACTGGACAATAAGTCATTCATTGATATTCAGTTCGTGAATTGTTGTATTAGCGAAATTACGTCAATTGAAGTTCAGTGGGGTCATTAAAAAAACACCGGTGTTTTTATCAACAAGTATTTAAAAGCCTTCAATGACGACAACTGCAGATGAATACTCTGTGGAGCATACATCTTCCTTCAATGCTTCTCAGATATATAATATGAGTGTATTTTACATCTCACCTAGTTAGTGAATAACGCAGCTCACAAGTTACCTATCCTGTCAGCTATATGCTGACTAAACCTTGCCTGAACTCGCAATAAAGAGGATACAATTTATGTCGTATAGATGATTAGTAGAGACGTATCACAAATTTCGAAAAGGTAACAGCTTTTACAATGTTTCGTCATCGTATACGATTTCATTTTAAATCAGATGATAAATTTTTTGTTGTTGTTATCTTTATCATTCATGGGTCAATGAACTAACACCACACCGGTTACAACACG